TAAAGTGATGTGATCATGAAATCTGAGTTTATAATTTAAGCACGTTCTAATGTAGGATTTATGTAAAAGTTCGTATATCAAAGTATGATGAAAATAACGATTTCGGGGATATTAATTACTGCTTAATATCTTTAGAAATGAGATCATGTTTTATAATCATTACTTTAGAGCTGACATTAAAAACAGACAAACAAAGGCAGATTACTTGAATTAGTAAGTGTAGTTAAGGTTTTAAGAAAAACTTTTTGCGAGACACCTACGACGTCGGAGAATCCTAGCGCCGCCACTGGTTTTGATAATTCAAGAGGTTTTTTTTCGGGTGATAAACCTTGTTGCAACGCTTGTTCTATGAATTGGCATTATTGTTTGTATAACTTAATCAGTTTAGTTAATGATATTATATATTTTTCAGCTAATATTTAGTTAAAAGCTTTAATTAAAGTTATTATATGACATTTATTTTCTTATAAATAGCAAACTTCCGGCATATGTTCACTCTACTAATTTTTAGACCAACGCATAGATCAATGAAAGACAGTATCAAACTCAATATACCAGTTTTAAAAAGTAGATAAGATTAGTTTAGCTTAATAGACCATATAATAATTTTGTGGTTTTAATTATTATTCATATTTAGTTTTAAAATTGCAACTTTTGAGACCCATTAACTTTGTTTTCTGTTTAGGTCAAACGTGTAGTTAACTATGTTTTTTTATTAGGAACTTTTTTAACGATCGGAAATACATTTTGAATTTTATAAAACAATATTTTTAAGTTAACTATAATTATTTACGATAAATGAAATATGAAACGGTGTTGAGTGGAATTCAAATTGCTTTTTATGGCAAGTAAAAAAAATGAAAGTTTTTTTAAAAAATTTTATAAAAATATTTCCATAAACCAAAACTGTCCGACTGGTGGTTCTTGCGCTAGAGGAATTATTTTTTAATTGGTCAAAAACGTCGATCATATGTTAAATATTATATTTCAACACATGTGCACGATTTAATTCACAACTTTCAATCATAATTTATACAAAGAAATAAAAAATAATAAAAACTAGGAAAATAAATAAACAATTTAATGACTCCAAATGACACCAACAGCAACAAAGCAAAAGTTCCACTGAATTATAAACAAATAAACAGAGAAATGCTATGTATGCGTCCGTCCATCTGTCAGATAGACAGATAGTCAGACAGACAGAGCGACCGAGCGACATATGTGTATAGTAACAAATTGATTTGGAATTTCAATTCCAATTCCAATTTAAAAAAATTTTAATAAATGAATAAATACACAACAAATTGAAGAAATTGTGAATTATACTACATCATCACAGCAGAGCATAGAGTGAAGGGGTTAATGTATTATTCGGTGTGGTAATGTGAGAAAGTAAAATATCGGGAAATGAATTTTATACAAATTACTTCAAAGACCAAAACAAAGTGAACTTTTTTTTTTGTCTAATGGACAAATTAATTAAATTACTTAATTTGTAAGAAATAATTAGCATGTAAAATTATTTGTTTAATTGGCAATGTTTTTTTGTGATGCAATGAACTTTTTACATGATTTAATTTGATTTATTTCCCACAAAGAGATTGGGAGAAAGGTTAAGAAATTTACAAAGATTTTCACGCAAAAGACTTATTAATATATATTTCTTGATGCATACGATATATATATATATTAAAAATATTTTTTAAAAAATTTTGAACAAAGAACAATGATTATGGCAATATATAGATCGATAAAATATTGAGCAATTTAATTGGAATGTTACTTTAAAATGCTACTCATATTTTGATGATGGATTTATGATAAATGGACTACTAATCAAATCTGTATCTTATAATGCTCCATTCATAACTATAGATTATTTCAAATACAATAGTACGTCACGATTCTACCCATTATTAACATATTTAATATTACGGAAATAGACATATAATAATACTCATATTTTGATGACAGATTTATGATAAATGGACTACTAATCCAATCTATTAAATCTATGCTATAATGCTCGATTCATAACTATAGATTATTGCAAATACAATAGTATCCTTTCCTACACGATCCGACCCATCATCAACATATTTGAAACTATGGAAATAGATATATCGGATCTACACAGCTTTATCTTAAACTGCTTTAAAAAGAATAATACTAGGAAATAACAACAGTTAGTGTAACTCCCATCTACCAGGCAACTTTGAGTATATCATACTTCTTACAACTTTGAGTGAGAGAGGTGCTGATTTACTATATAACCTAACCTACTAATCATCAACGACCGATATGAATGTGTTTTACAAATCTCATTTCAATGTTTGCAAGAAAGCCAGGCAAGTTTCTTCTGGAAAGCTGAATCCATCCAATCTACTCTCTAAATGAAGTCAATATATCAGAAATTATATCTCACAAAGGCAACTCTTGAATAAGGTTTATCATATTTTCAAAAATATCCAAAATATCCAACCGTTTTGATTAATGAAAATATCACCATTTTACTGTGGTAAAATTTAAAGTTTAATTAAAGAAGTTATTCCTTTCCTCCAAGAAGATACCGATAAGTAGACTCGGTTCTCATTCAAAACTGTATGATATTTCGAAAAAAACTTAGATGTTGTGAAGATACTAAATAATAGATACTTCTTCATAGATTTTTGTTTCTATAACAATCGGTAAAAACTATTTATAAATATATATTTGTGTAGTGAAAACCAATATGACTAAAATGCACATTACTTTTTGGAATTTATTATTAATATTTATTTTATCAAAACATTTTATTCCGTCGAATTGTTTTTTTTTTTTTAACGAGATTTAAAATAGGTCACCCATATATAAAAAAAAATTTTTAAGCTCACTACAATTTTTCAAATTTTCATAAATGTGATTATATCACTAAACAAAACAAAACAAACTCTTGAGACCTATATAGATAATTTCAGTATGAATAATAAATAATCAATATTTAGTTTTTATTTTTTCATTTCTGAAATTAATTGTAATTATCACCGAATACTTACAGTTTATCTAGATTAACTTCATAAAACTATATAGAAAAACTTTAATATTTAGGAATCTTCCAGTCATTTACAGTTACATTATAACTAACTAGCAGTAATATTCTGATATAGTGAATCAAACATTTCAACCAAAAAGCGCATATTACGCATACGTTTTATAATATTATATATTACACTTCATCATTGGTGTATAATTTCTATAACATACAAACCTACTCATCTAACGGCGATATATACCTGCTTGTGAAGTTTCTATGGAACAGCACTTAGTCGTCGCTGGCGACGAGTGGCTCCGGAGCGCAGACCCGGCCGTTCTTGGAGCTTTAATGTTATATGCTTACAGGTCCCAACGGATTACAACAATAACAATGCGATATATAAGACACACTTACAAAAGGCTTTGACTAGCCTTGACATGTAAAGAAGATCGAGCATCACACTTCATAACTTCAAACCTTAACACATAACCAACAGCAATACTCAACACCACTAAGTCATTATCAAGTAGCAAGAGACAAATTGAAGCAAAGTTAAGGGTTATAAAATGACTGGATCTATGCCCCAGATCGACTTTTAAAGTTCAGCGAATACATGCCGTTCACCACACCCAAAAGGGGCTACATGAACTGATCCTTGCGGGCTACAACAACAAACAAAATTAACATCTTATAAAAGGTAAAACTATGGGTGTTAGACAGAATTCAATAGAAATTCTGCATTTTAAAAATTTAGAGCATTACTATAGATGTACATATTAATTTTAAAAATTTCGGTTGATTAGTTTTAGTGGCGGTTGACATTTTTCTTTAGCCTAAGTACCTTATAAACGCCAATTTGTTACTATACACCCGGATATGAAAGTAAATTATAAACCCAACTTGCGAGGTGTATAAGAGAAGACTCTTTAAAGAAGATCTGTGTTTGGGATATACACTAGGATTATTATTTCATAGACTTTCATATTGGAATGTTTTAAAAAAATGCAAGTCTAAGCATTTTTATTTTCTGTTAATGTATTATAAATTTTTTGCTTCCAAAATTGTCTTCCTAAAGATGATCATAAGAAGGAAGAATTGATTCTTACGAAGGAAGAATTGATTCTTACGATGGAAGAATTGATTCTTACGAAGGAAGAATTGATTCTTCCTTCTTAAGATCGTCTTTAGGAAGACACTCTTAGAAGCTAAAAATTTATAATATATGCGATGATGAATATGAAGCGCTTAATAATTTTCTATGAGATATTTATATAATGCGGATATTTATATATAATGAAAATAATTTAATAGAGAAAATTATATAAAATAAGGTAAATAGATATAGACACATAATAGCTTACAATAGATTAATAGATAGAATAGACTACCATTCATTGTTAAATATCAGAAGATTATTGGAAGTCTGGAAGGAAAGACTAATTCTAAGACTAATTTTTATTTATATGTACTGAAGCTCTACGAAGCCGGAATTTATGAAATAGTATAATCCGAAGAAAAAAAAAAATTGAAAGTTTTTGCTAATATTTCTACACAAGCAATAAAAATGCAAAAAATATTTTAGTATGTAAAACACGAAATTAGCAAGCGTGGGCTTGAATATTAATAGGAAATCTGTAAACTTTAATATTTTTGGTCATAAACAAACTGTAGAAATTGTGGTGGAACATTTAACATTTAAGAGCACAACAAATAATGTCTTAGCATTCAAAATCATCAAAAATGCTTAAATCAATAAACCATTTGAAGAAACTTCAAACAAGAAACGTCACTCATGCACTCAGGCTCCAACCATTCTACACCAATTCACCACCCACAACATCCACACTGCCTGACAGGCAGTAATCACCAACAACAAAGTTTCAAGTACAACAACAGCAATAACAACAAATCAAATTAAGCACTCAACATAGGGCAAGGCAATCGATCTACCATTTGGACTATTTGTTTGGAGTTTTTGACTTACCGTGCCGTGATGGACAGGTTTCGGTTCAATGAAAACATCCTGCTTAGGACAGCGTGCACTTAAACTACTTGTTGGACTTCTGGTAGCTGGAGTTCCTGCTCCGATGGGTGTGGCGTCGCTGTCTGAGGAAGCATTGATGCGCACAGCTGGATCGGGATATAGGAATTCTTGGGGCAATTGTGTTGCATCGATTACCGATCTGCGACTGCAATTAAATTAATGAATTATTGCAAATCCATTTACAATTTTTTGTATTTATTTCACTCGCACCTAAGCGTGGACAATCGATTTGGTGTCGTATCCTCGGCGTCAAAAAACTCGTCTGAGCTGTCCTCCGAATCCGTTTCATTTTTCATTATTACGTGTCGTAAAAAATATATTAAACTTAACTTTTATTTTTTTGATTTTTATTAAATTTATTTTTTTCTTAATTTTGCACTTTTATTTTCATTTATTTGCAAATTTGTAATATTTACGTCATTTTTGTTTCACTTTTTAACATTTGACTATTTTTGCTGTTGCTATATTTTTAAATTATTTCACCCAAAAATTTTCTATTTGTTAACATTTTCGCACAAAATATATTTTTATTTTTTTGGTAATTTAACTAAATAATAACTATTGCATTTTAAATGTAGAAAATATATTTTCTTCCTTAAAACAAAAAACGTACTGCCGTTTTCGCAACAAACGTCATCTAAAGTAAAAACAAGAATGAGTGTGCGATTGAATGAGAGCGAACAGCACAACGCAAACAGAGTTGCAAATATAAAAAACATACGACTGTTTCTCAAAGTACTTAATTATTGTAAAGAATTTAATGCAGAGTTTTTTAAGTATTTTTTATTACTTTGTTGAAAAAATATCTAGTTTAAAAATAGGATATTATTTAAGATAATAATTTGTAAAAATTCAGGCAACATTTCATTCATTTTCAGAAATTTTTAGTTCAACATAAGAATATACAATACAATATTTGTAAATGCAACCCTTCACGAGGTGAATACATGCGCCATCTAGCTGTGAAAATTTATTTTTTGAGAAAACAAATCAATTTAAGTGTTTGAAAAATAACTGAAATATTTTATTGTTGAAATAAAACTTATCATACAACCAAAAATTTTTTAGTAATATTAAGAAAATGTTGGGAATCTAAAAATTAAACAAGTTACGTGTTTCTTATTCTGTGATAACACTAATGGGCTTATTATTTTAATACAATGTTATATCAAGAAATCTTACACCGAAGATTTGTACCTCTACCTGATTGATTAGTTATATATATAGTTAGTCAATTTGTATTTATCTTTAGTTAGCTCAAAAAAAGCATGTTAATATAAGATATGTAGAGGCGATGTTACCCTTATAAGAGCTCACTACGAAATAAACCAAAAAAAACTGTGTTAATATAAGATTTGTAGAGGTGATGTTACCTTCACAAGAGCTCAGTAAGAACTCAACCATTTATCCTTGTCTGTCCAGCGTCGGTGTTTATATATACTGTGTAACTGCCACAATACTTCCTTCTTAATAAGAAGGTCAGAGGATTAACACAAAAAGATGATTATGTGTCGTTTACTGATGGACATGGTTTGTGCTATGTGTAGCTTACAGTGACGAGATGCGTCATTTTTGATTGCTAACTACCAGTGTTTCTTAGAGCAACTGAAGTCGATTAGGCGGAGCTGGTGCATGTTACGTATAAGACTATAATTGTGATAGTACCGGGCTAATGTGTTAACATATCATATTCGCAGTAATGAGATATTTTAAGCTTCTGCGAGTTTGCCAAAATACTAGATAATAGCGGAACCGTCGAAGCTCTACATTATTTCAAAATTGTGAAACTGTTGACTCTTATCAAGCATGGACAAAACTGTCGTCGCGCTTGATTCAGCTGCTATATATTGTCGTTCCCATGCTGTAGTCAGCATGTTATAGCGACGATGCTGCTTCTATCTCTATGCTCACCAATACGTAATCAAGAATTCTCCGTGTCGTGTTACTTGTAAAATTCAGTGTTACAGTTTTGAATGTTAGAATTGGTGGTCGGCTGCATAAACCCATTGTAACGCGAAGCTATATGTATATCTTCGTGATGCTGAACTGTATGTAGACATCGTGGTGTTGGTTGTATTGCTGCTGCCTAATGCTCAAGACTGGATCTATGCTAAACTACTTCTTAAGTCGTTTGCATAGAGCTAAAGTCTTGTGATTATAAAGCTATTTCATTTTCACAGATATAGTTGTGCTAGAACTCAATTATATTACATCAATTTCACCATTGCCACGGTGGTAGATGAGCTTATATGAGCGATAGAAGTTTAAGATTTTGAAAAAACATTCGTAAGTGGCAGAGAATTTTGTATATTCCTTTTTTTATTGGTGAAAGGACGTTATAGGTTCTAGTCGACGAAATCGGTTATAGTCGACGAAATCGACTACCTTCAAATAGAATTTTTAGTTTGAGAAATAGACATTGAATTGAGATGAATTGGGCACTTCTCCCACAGACATTCACAGAGTTTTCAAAGACTGTTAAGACATCGTCTTTATATGCAGAGTCATAAAGTCCCAGTCCCAGTCCCATAAAGATTTCTTTACCTTACATTAGTGTAAAAAATTAAGTTTATAAAACATAAATTTACCATTGTTATATTACTCTTAATTCAACAAAAATTCTTTATATCTAAATTTTCTAATGTACATAGGTATGTATGTATCTTTGTATGTACACATGTGTAATATATCTTTGCATTGTTTAACATAAATCGACTGTTGTTTCCATTTAAAATTTTCTTATAAAATGCAAATTTTTGTCTAAACTTGGTAGCATATGTTTAAACTAAATTTCATATCAAATAAATTTCATTCTAATCTTGTTAGAATGGTGTTTTATATGAATGAAAGTCAGTGTGTTTCTCAGTGTACGCACACTTCCTTGTGTATCCTTAGACGGTTAGCCCAGTTTCTTGGTTGTGTTGGATTTGAATTTTTGCTAATAAAACTATAAATTCAACAGAAAATAAATCGACGCTTAAAACCTTTTTACTTATGCAAAAGTCAATTTCACAAAATGGCATAATCAAAAATACCTTCTCGAACCGATTTATACGAATTTCGGAAAATCCTTGCGGCAAGAACAACAAACCCCAAGCAAAAAAAAAACAAGCCAAAGGAAAGGAGGGAAGCTTCAGAAAACAAATTCAATTCACACAGAAAGCCACCAAATGCAGCATAAAAAGAATTTATTTGCTTGTGGGTTTGCTATGGCGTGTGTGTGTCCCACTGTGCGTATGAGTTTCTGTTTATAATGGCATTTCGCTATTTTGGGTGCGTTTCAGAAGGCAATGCGGCAAAAGTGGGCAAAGGAACTCGGTTAGGCAGTCCAAATGGAAACAAATCTATATGAATATTATGTGCAAAAGTTTCGATACATCGAAATTGACTTGATTATGCGTAAATTCATTTGTAGTAAATAAAAGAAACTAAAAAATATACTCCATCGTATATATGTGCATTACGAAAGTTCTTATTGTACAACCTAATTTATTTGCAAATTAGTTAGAAGTTAGATTTTTTATAGATCTGAATTGGAAAATTTGTCTACTTTAAATCTCTATTTTTAACTGCAATATTTCTATAAGAAAGAGCTAAAATATTTTGTATATTCTTGTTTCAAATTCTCGCCTGTGCGAATCGTGGAGTAACATTATCAATATGACTTTCTCAGTATTACGTTCCCAGATTAGTTTCTATACATAAAAAATAATATATAAATCATGCCACAAATAATGCCTCTACACAACAGAATAGTATTGAAATTTAACAATTAAAAATAAAAATAAAAAATAATAAATAAATTAAAATAAAAATAAATTAATTTAAATATTTTACAGCTGGTTTATGATTTTATTCTAATATAAACACAGCAAGTGAATTTGTTAATAAAACTATTACATCAAATTAACAAAACTCCTGAAAAATATGCAAACATAAAAAGTCAAGTACGATTTTGGATCAGTTGGTTAAGGAGCGCTGACTCTGAGCTTCAAATTTGGCAGGGCACAATTTTGATTCCTGTTACTTGCAGACTCAAAAAATTATTAACGAATAATTAAATACAAAATTTAAAACTAATATAATTAAATACTTTGTAAGAGATTTTTGACAAATTGATAACGCAATCTGTATTATTGCTTGAAAGTTCCCAATGGACATACACGCAAAAAAAAGCAAGGTGTGAAATTGTGGTGGTTACTTGGATTGATATTGAAGCACAGTAGACAAAATACATAGGCTGCCATATGACAGATATTCAACGGTCGCAATAGAGATATGGATCGTAGAATATCTCTAATATATTTAACACCCCAAACTGTCACATAATTGTTGAATATGCAGAACATGAAGGTTTTCCTTATGATTATTTCTAAGAAAAACCGAAACTATAAAACAGCACTATCAAGCACGAATGTGCTCAAGTAGTTTCAAATGGAGCGCAATAAGAACGCTCATAGTTCAAGTCATGTGGTATCCAGGACATTAGCCTAATGAATTAAAAGCGCTATCGCAATTCACAGCAGATATTCAGGAAGGATATTTTTACTAGAATAGATTGATGACAGATGAAAATGTAAAGTACAGCATATAAGTAATTATTGAAAAGTAGTGTGAGTTCAACTGTATGTTTTCAAACGAATTTTTGAACAGAAATGAGCCAAGACAGTGTTAGTGTCAGTTCTTTGGTAGTGTCCATATTGAAAAAACTTCAAGTTCTTAAATCCATGAAAAAACTCGGCTTACAAAAGAGAAAATCACTCTCCGTCCAGACAACATTGAAGCTCAAACATTACAGGATCATCACAAAAATTATTAAATTAATATGTAAACTTTTACAATAACCAACTAATTCGTCAACTTGAACAAACATTGCTGATAGGCGTGTATATTCAATAGATGCTTAATATTTTTAAACTTCTTTAATTTTTTTAATTACCATATTTTTGTTGACATAAAAATAATGAATTTTGGTATGAATTGTTTCCACAAAGCATATAAAATTAGGATCAATCGGTTGGGATATTTTTTTTCTCGCGATCTCAGCAAAATGCAACTATTTCTCTTTTTCCATATATTTTTTTTTTGTTAGAAGATCTATAAATCAAAAGTTTTATTTATTAGTATCAAAAGGGGACTATAGACCTAAGTGGATTCCTCTAGAACCGCCGGTATAATCTAAACTAACCTAGTATCTAAAGCCCTTAGTAATATTAAGGAGTCGAAAAATTTTGTTTTAAATAAAATTGCAATAATAGCAATTAGAAATGTTATTTTACATCCATACGAGCAGTAATTATGCACTACATATACGGTCAACTTCAAAACACTTATTAACATTTTCCAATATCCTTTCTAT